AAAGTTTGTCTTTCTGTTCAGAATTATAAGAAAGGTTTTAAAGTTTGTCTCGAATTTAACAATTAATTTTTTAAGGAATGCCCAATTATTTCAACAAAAATTAAGAAAATAATTACAAGCTAACATCATTTTTTAGACAATGAACAGTTAACAACAATTCTTAAATATGTAGTAGATACAATTGAAAAACTTGAATTACATAATATAACAGTTAAAAATATTTTTTGCTGAATTATTTACAATTTATAAAAAATTAATAACAAGCGAATTTAATGATATTGATCTAGAATTTATTAATTATGCAAAAAACATTATTAATTTTAGAGCAAAAGAGTTTGATAAACTATTATATTATTTAGGTTTTTTTTTATACTCAAAATATCGCAAAATAGCTGTATCTAAAAAGTTATCTATTAATGATATATTAATTTATGCTTTAACATTTGCTCAAAAATAGAATTTTACTAGAAAGCAAGCAGAACAAATTTTAAACCAATTAGATGACTATTTTAATAATGAATCACTCTTTAACTCAACTACAGTATTAGAACCATGTTTATATTGGAAACATCTTCCATATTAAGCAGGGCTTTAAAATTCTTAGCACTTAAAATATTTGCAATTTGCCCTTATACTGCTAGAATTAAACAACTTTTTCATCTATAGGTTTAACTAAAACAAAATTGCAAAACTGACTATCTATTCCAACATTAAAAATGATTTCACAAATAAAATCTGGTTTAACAAAAGAAATTAGTAAAAAGGCCAGAATAATCAGATATTAAACAGCAATAGTAATAGTGACACAACCTTTATAGAACTAGAAGACTATGATGAGATGATTTCTTCAGTTTCTAATACTGATAATATTGAGTTAGAAACTAATAAATTTGAAGAAATTTATACAAAAGTTGAACAAAATTTATCAAATTCATTTTTTGGAACAACTTTTTAATTTTGATATTGAGAAATTAATATTAGAATTAAATGAAGCAAATATGAATACTTATTGAACTAGAATTACAAGTTAATAGGCTTTAGATGAAATTTTAAACAAAAATAATGTTTAGTAAAAAATTACAAAACAAAAAATTATTTTCTGCTTTTTTGATAATTCATAATTATGAAATAAATAAAAAGCAAATATGTAGTATAAATAAAATTTATATCTTATGCATCATCTTTAAATGTTGTCAATTATTAATTGGCATATTAATTAATTTTAATCACCAATTAAAAGTTAACTTAGACCAGTTCTTGATATTAGTTTAACAAATTTATTTAATAGCAACTTAATTATGATTTATAGTGACTTAATTATGATTTATAGCAGCATAATTATAATTTATAACAACTTACTTATAATTTATAGACTTAATTATGATTTATAGCAATTTTATTATAAGTTAAATTCTTATAAATTAAGAGTTCTTTAATATTATAGTATATAGTTAATTATAGTTAATTGTTAAGCACATAAGAATTGTAATGATAATAATTGATTAGTAAGTTGATATAAACTCAAATATGCATAAAAAGTATATCTTTGATCAATTCAATTCATAAATTTAATTATTCTAATATTGTCTCTTAATATAACTAAAAATTCAACATAATATCAAATACAAAATTACAAATCAGCATAACTTTTACTAATAGAGCAAATGTTCATTAGATCTTGGACATTTATTCTATATAATAATCTTTGCCTTATAAGTTTAAAACTAATAAGTCAAGCAAGTTACTCCCACAAATAAAAACAGTCTATGCTTATTTACTTTTTCAGCTAACAAGTGCTGATATGAGGCGATCCAGCAAATTGAAAATCATATCAAGCTTTTCTTTTTTTTTGGTATACTATATAGCATGCCATATGCCAAAACATATTAATGGCATGCTATTAAAAAATAATTGTGCTAACCACTCTAGCTAGAAGGCACTATGTGGCAGTTTTTGTAAAGGTCAACTAGCACTATAGGGACTTCTTTAACATATTCAGCATGCAAACCAAAAGCATTAGTATACAAGATAACTGGCAGGTGATACTCTTGTATACAAAATTTTGAAGAAAGTAGTGTTTTGAAAAAAGTAAGGCCACTGTTGTCAATGAAGTCAGCATAAGCAACATAATAGAAGGAGAACAACAAATAAGTTTTTTAAACCATTTTTTAGAAATTTTGAAGTATCTGCCCTCAAAAACTACTCTATTATATTCCTGCCGGGTTTTTTAATGTTTGTCTTAAAATTTTTTCCAAAATGTGAGAATTTCAGTGTATCTCCTACAAAGAATCAATATTGCTTATATAACTAAATCAGAAATGATAAGTCACAAGAAAGTCACAGTAAATGACATATAGCAGATTATAGGGTAAATAAAAAAAGTTTCATATTCCCCACAACAAAAAATATTTTAATATGAAAGTAGAGTGAAGGTGAAGATTGTTTTACAGAGTATTAAATAATTTTTATATACTATACATAGGTACAACAATCAGAAGTTCATTTTTTTGAAAATAGTGTATTTATGTCTTTCTTTTTTTTTATCTTTTTTGTTTTATTTCTTTTTTTTGTATTTAGATTATATTTAGGTTTTGTAATATTTCTTACTTTTTTATTTTCTTTTTTTAGTTTAGTTTTTTTTTATATACTTGTCATTTTTTAGACAAGGATTATAGAATTCTATTGCTTAAATATTAAGAAAAGGAGAGTCTTAAGGAAATTAGCAGTCATAATATGCCTGTAAATACTGTTTGGTAATTTATTTATTTTCTTCAATTGCAGGAGAGATAAGTAGAGAAATAAAATTCTACTATAGTAGGTCGAACATAGATACACATAATGCAACTGGGTTAGCCAAAACTTGTAACTTAGATGACCAAAGCAATTGTTTTAGTAAAATTAGTTGATGATATAGTTTGTTAATTTAGGTCTAATAAAGTTTTGGCATGACTACTGAATAAAAAAAATAAAGTAATATAATAATATATATTAGAGTTTTGAATTGATTAAAATTATTTAATTAATTAATTGTTAAATAGTGATTAGATTAAACCCAATTGTATAACCTATAGTCAATTTTATAGTCTAGTTATCTGGATAATCTAACAGTTAACTAGTTATGATATCTTAGAGTACAAGCACTAGTTAGATCATATATAATGATCATTAATTTTAGATATATAAATTTGTATTAATTTAAATACATTTTTTTATACAATCAAACAAACAAAATTGTATATATTTTTTTTAAAACTGTAGTTCTAAATTAGCTTTACACTATAACAGAACTAGTTTTAATAACTTTTAATAAAATTTTAGATTAATTTTTATTAATAATTAATATAGATTATTAAAAAACCTGTTCTGTTGCAGTGTAAAGCTAGTTTAGAACTATAGTTTAAAAAAAAAGTATAGTACAATTTTGTTTGTTAGTTGTGTAGAAAAATGTACCTAAATTAATACAAATTTATATATAAATTTATATGTGAAATAGCCCTTTAAAAAATCCAAACTTAATGACCTTAAAACTATATTTTAATTAATTAGTTTATTAAATACCCTAACATAACATAGAATTCATAAATTTTGATTATTCCAGATCAGTTTAACATTAAAACAAAACATGTATACAAGAAGAAAAAAAGTAAAAATACTTGAAAACTGGTGTTTAAATCAATTTTTAAACACTAACAAAAAGTATCATAAATGCAATTTTACATTTAACATAAACCCTAACATGAACCTGAACTCAAACCCTAAACTAAAGCAAAAAATATACTATATTATATGATGGTTATGTTATTGTAAAAGTGTCTAGACCAGTGTTTGAAATTTCAGGCTTAATTAGGGATATGCTGTTTATTACATAATTTCTTTTTATTAGAAGCCCAAACCCCCTCTCCCCTAGTTGATAAAATCAGCAGCCAATCATAATGTTTATATTAAATATATTGAGATAATAAATTGCTGACCCTCCCCTCTCCCCTAAAAAATTATATAATAAACGGCACTCCTCTTACTGTTTTTATAAGAACAATATAATAACTATGAGTGTTCTCAATTTGCTATTTGTGTTTTCATTTATGCTTATTAAAAAAAAAACATATACTAACTACCTAATAATATAACATTTATCATCTAAATATTATATTATTCATCTATCTATTACTTATGAAAACACTATTTTTATTTTACTGTTCTTAAAAAATTTTAATAGTAAACAGAATCACAGATTTGCATTTATTCTAGATTTCTAATTCCCAGTGTGATGTATGAAAATTACTAATCACAGTAATTTGGAAAGCACAGTAATTGACTAAGTTGTAATTGTGTCACTATTCAATTAAATAGGTTCAAAAAATTGCAATTAATTGCTTCACAAAATCAATTAATTAATACCTAATAGAAAAAAATTAATTTATTAGTTGAACATGTTTTGAAAAGTACAAACCGCAATGATTTCAATAAAATAATTGCCTTATCTTTATTATATAATTATATCTAATAACAATCTTCACAAGCATTGGTAATTCAATTGGCCAAAGTGGTTACATGAAAAGCTTAGTAACTTTTGCCAAAAAATACGCAGCCATACTTTATATGTATTTTCATATATTTTATATATTCTAAGTAAATATATGATGTGTGGATCTAATATGCTTATTCATGCTATAAAACAAATAAAACTTTCATGTGGATCTAGTAAAATTAATATATGTATAATTCTGTTAATATAAAACTTTCATGTAATTCAATTTATTCTAAAACTCAATATGAAGATTAAAAAATTCAAAAATAAATATATTACTTTCAATTATTTAATAGTGCTTATAACAAATGTAGTCATTGATTATTGATATAATAAAGTATATAATTTTTGAGAAATTTAAATATAAATATCTCTATAGTTTGCTTTTAGTTTTGTCAAAGTTTTTTTTAGTTTTTTACAGTCGGCTTTGCTCTTGTTTTACTACTATTGCTCATATAAATTGTCTACAAAAATGAATAAATATTCTTGTGGTCATTATTATCTACCAGAATCTTTTATCTATAAAGGAAAAACCAATAAAACGTGTTCAAATTGCCTTATTTCTAAAGCTAAAAAAAGAAAAAAATTAGAAAATAATAAAACTGAAACTACTATAAAAATGATCTTGTCACATACTCTTTGTGATTATGTAGCAAAACTAATTTCAAATGTTGTAAATACTAATAGAATTTCATTTGAGATACGTATTGACCTTACTAATCTTAAATCAATTGTAAGATTAATTGTAGATAAAATTGAGGAAGGTAATGATTATGTTTGGTTAGCTACAACAGCACTACATATCTCAGTTCAGTTTAGTAATGTTGCCACATATTATTTTGCATGTTCTTAATGCTATGAATTGGAGCAAGAATATAAGCAATTAAATAGAAAAAGAATTGTTAAATTTGATTGCTATGGCAAATTGACCCTTTATATCGATATACCTGCAATAGAAGCAATAATAAAACTTTGTTATGATATTCTTCATAAAAAACCAAAAAATGTCTCAACACCAGAAGAAATTAAACAAGAAATGCAAATCTTTATCTAGATTTAGTTCAAATTCGAACTATACTCTGCAATAAATTTGATATTTTAATGATTATAGCCAAACAAATTTATTATTGGTAGTCAACATTTGTACAAGATTTGTACAAAATAGATGATGACCATATTATTTTATCACGTATTTTTCTCAAAACAGATCGTGCAGCAGGTTGCAAACTCTGTTTTGAATTAAGTAACTATGTTAGGCTTTATAACTTCTCTTTTTAGCCTTATTCCACTTGTATCAGAAGTTTACTGTGATGCAACTTATAAAACTGTGAAGAGTCAGTTTGAATTTTATAATCTAATTGGCAATATTGACAGTACTGGGTTCCTGCTAGCATATCTTATATTAAATATTATAAATGTTCAAGAAAAAAAATTACAAAAAAACATTAGCAAAAATATATATATGTAAACTTTTATAAGTTTTTACGGTACATAAGAAAATCATAAACTTATGTAAAATTTAGCGTAAAACTACGTAAATCTTACAGTGTATAAGAAAATCATAAATTTACATAAAAATTTTATGTTGGTTTATATAAATCTTACACACTGTAAAAACTTACGAAAATTTATAGAAGTATATAAAAATTTATAAATCCTAAGATTTAATCTCAAGAAAAATAA